TTCTTTTTCTACGGTGACATGTTCTAAATATTACATAGTTCGTGCACCCTAATGTCTTTTAAGAGTGACTTTATGTGAAGGGATCAAGAATGGGAATTTAAAAAAAAATACGCGTAAACTAAATGTAAACAAACTACGGAGATCGGTTGAGCATATGAAGAAAGATTATGCCGAATCAAGGTGTCGAATAAAGGTAAAATTAATATTATTTCTAAATTCTTATAACATATTGAAATTATTAAGAGTTTTTCGGAGTAAACCTCTTCGAATGGGCCCCTTGATACTGTAACAATGATCCTTGTGACTGGCTGAAAAGGAACCACTCAGAAGGCTCCTTACTGAGGCTGACTCGTCCCAATCTGTGCGCCTCTTTTTTTCTTACTCTTTCCTCTATTGGCTTTCAACGAGTAGCACCTACAAAAACTGCTCTCGAGGAAAAAACCTCAACAGCAGATCTGTGGAATCCAGGATTGTAGCGCCTACTCCACTTGAATAAATATCTACTGAAACCTCACGAAGACTGACCTCCAAGAGATCGCTGCGCCACCACCACAACAAGAAATCACAAGATCTCAAAGAACTGTTAACAGGACGTTTCTTTTCCGTGGCAAGTTCGAAAAATACCATTATTTTGCAACATTATTATAATAAATCTTTCTTCTCATTCTTCTGTTGTACTCATAAGAGGTTTCAATCTCAAAGGTTTGGTTTCTTTCTTTTTTCACGCCGTGAAACGTCATTGAATTATCCTATTTTTTTCTACAGCGGTAATTAGCTATCTTTTCGAACAAACTTAACCTGTCGAAATACCAACAAACTTTTACGTACATAGGACGCTGAAAGTAAAATTTCGAAGGCCCAAAAGCCCTCCGCAGAAGCTACTCTAAGATCTTCCAGAAGGGCAGCTTCTAGACTAGTAAATAAATAAATTATAAATATAATTTTAGAAGCATAGTTAAAGTAGACCTTAGAAGGAACTGGGAAAACCAATCCTAAGTGAGGAAACCCGGGATAAACCTCTACTCTTGAGTGAGGTTTGAGCCGGACGATAAGCGAACCTATCTACTCCTATTGTGATTTATTATTAGAATCTCAAAGGTTTGGTTTCGTTCTTTTTTGTCACGCCGTGTAACGTCACTGAATTTTCCTTTTTTCTACAGCGGTAATTACTTACCATTTCGAACAAACTTAAACAGATGAAATACAAACACTTTGTTTGAATTTAATTTCAGAACAATATTTTACAAGTTCACATTCTCGATATTTTTCTATCCCCACTCCCACCTCACTTTCAAAATTGGCTCCCAAAGCCTTGATTCTTCTCAGAGATAAGAATATATTTTCTGACTAACGACTAAGAGCTGGAAAATATAAAAAGGAATTCCACCATCATGATGCCATAAAGTCTGGGAGAAACCTCACAGCTTGTTCACTCCAATCTTTTTTCATTACTTTCAAAACTGGCTCCCGGAGCCCTGATTCTTATCAGAGATAAGAATATATTTTATGACCAATGAAGGTGCCAGGAAATTTGTTTAACAATTTTGGCGGGAAAAGCTCCCGATTCTTCTGACCCTACCAAATCTCCATCAATTTGGAGAATCTTCGCCTATTTGGCAGTGAGAATTTCGACCACCGTCTGTGAGGTCGACGATAGAAAGCAAGAAGTCAACTTCGGAACCACTTTCAACCAAAGAACTACCTACTAAAAAGAGGGTGTCGAGAACGAACGTAGACCCTCCACTAAAACCCAATTGAAAGCTGCATCCCTTCACCACTCCTTCTGTCGTGCCCACTGGACTTCTGTCGTCGACCTACGAACTCACTCAACTGCAAGATTCATATATCTACCAACAAGTTTCCTACTCTACAAGAACTGTGAATGTTTCTAAACCTTAACAAAATTCTACTCGCTTAAAGAAGTTTTAGGCACTTATTATTAAAAATAAAAATAAATATTTTAACCAAGCTTTTTCTGTTATGAACATTTCCTCTTCCCTTAAAGGACATTTTCTCTTTTCCCTTTCTTTCACTGCTAATTATCTTTATCCTTTTACCCCTTTTTTCTGTATATGTAAATAAACACTTTCCTCTTTTATTGTTACACACCGAGCAGGAGTTCTTTTCTTTATTCGTCCGCGCCTAAAAGGGAGACTTTGTCCGCTCTAATCTTGCTGTGTTTTACTCGCTTTTTGTCGCAATTTTTTAACCTCAACTCAATTTTTCAACCTCACCCCTTTGATGCGGGAAAGCCGGGACAGAGTTCCCCGCAACTTTGAAAAAAAAAATGAACTAGCAATTTATGCTATGAAAAATACGGACGAGTTAGTAAGACATTTGCTTAGACGTGACTCGCTTGAGGATGAGGTTCGATAAGTGTATTATTTTGGTATCTACTAAGAACTTTGTAGCAGTTCCCTGCATTCTTTTTTTTCTTTCTCTTTCTTACATTTGTGAAATTGTGCAAAATCTTCTTCGCTCAAAACGACCGAATTTAAAACTGTAAAATGTGTAAAGACTGTTGTTTAACCGTGACTAGCTTAAATTCGGCCATAGATATTATGTTAACGGAGAAGTCCTTCAAAGACTTACTTCGTAAAATGAAACAACCACATAAATAAATGGTTAACATAAGCTGGCTTAAATGAAAAAAATAAGCAAAGTCAAAGAAAAGGCAGATATTAATTAGGGACAGTGGCCTTTTACCAGATGATGTATTAGAAACTGAATATGTCTCTAACGTATATAGAAAAAAGGCGGAAAGAGAACAAGTTGTTTCTCCCACTCCCACTATAGATTTACCACAAAATTTTAACATTGCAGACAAAATACAGTTTCAAGAGTCTGCGCCAAAGCTACAGTGCTCCAAATTTAGCGGCGATGAAGTCGGTGACTTTGAATTTAAGAATTTCTTGGTTTAAATCGAGAACTGTTACCTCGGTAAATTCTGATAAATCAAAACTCTCCCTTTTGTAAGGGTTTTTAACCGACTACGTGTCGCATTTAATATCACATCTTTCATTCAAAGATTATAATTACGTCATAGACATCAATTTATTTAAAATAGAAATTTTTAGATATACCCTTCATTACTGATGACATTTTCAAACAATTACTGGATAATAACCCTAAGTATGACCCAGACTTTGTTAATGTGAAAAGATATTTGTCAGAAATTAAAACTGACTTATCGGAACTGAAATCTTTTTAGAGTTTGGACTTTTTTTTAAGAGAACACACCGGGCTTTGAAATTGTTAATCATATTTTTTTTCAAAATTACTCCCTACTCTTCAAAAAGAATTAATTCACAAGGTTGCTAGTAATTATCCAAAAACCAATCATATTTTTTTTATAATTACAATGAGGTAATGAAAACCTTAATAATAATCACTCTTGAAATAACAGCAATTCTTACTACCAAGACAATCTTAATTCGCGGGAAAGGAATTATAACAAGAACGACAGCATTAAAGAGAGTGTTTCTACACTAGAAACTTTTTTGCTGGATTTATCAAATTTGTTACACATTGTAAGCTTTGTAACCCAACGGGTATTTTTTTAATGAATCGTTATACTAAACGTTCTACCTTTGAGTCGAGACGTTCTAGATGTAAAGAACTTGACTTGTTCCTTCTCTGTACAAATCATAGAACTGAAGACAGCCCTGTCCAAAATAATAAGTTACCCTGTGAATGTGCAATTTTAAAATCCAGATGTCGCGTTAGCCTTTTTTGTAAAGAATCTGTTTAAAACCTATTCTTCTACTGACTTGTGTTAAAGGATTGTTCCTATCCTGCAGGAACAACACTTTATCTTGCCTATCTGTCAATTACTGTATCAAATGGTAAAATAAATACAAACTCAAAAAATTAAGATGTGAGGAATCTTTCCTAACGCCTCTAGAATTTAACGTTAAGACCTTCTTAGGGTCTAAGAAAAAAAAGCTTAAGCCATGTTGTATTGGGTATTGAAGTAAATAGGTGTTGTTCGTTAGTCTAATCCGTTTTTATCGATGACAATGTCAATAGGACATTCGAAATCGAAGAAAATAATTTAATCGACTTAAATTATAAATTAGCATTTCTGCGTGAAAAAATAATAATATTCGTACTCTTGGTCTCTTGAGTGTAGACATTATTAAGGCATATTTCTAACATTACATTGTTAATGTCAGAGTTATGTATTATCTGGATCCCTAGTAGCTAAGCAATTTCTACCATGGCTTTTCTGGAGATGTTACACAATTATCTTCAAATTTATTTACTATCTTGCGATTGTAGATAAAATACGTGGTCAGATTTGATGTGTACATGGAAGCAGAGGTAAAATCCCTGCGGGGAGTGTCACATGATACCAGGGCAGCAAAAAAACCTCTCTAATTTAGTAGTACTGTCTACGAATCGGTATTTTGCTACGACGAATGCTCAATGTTGTGTGACTTGTCCGAAGACTGTTGATCAAAGCCAAGAACCAAACTTGTCTTGCAAATAAGGACCAGTGGGTTCGATTTTCAGTGGGGGTATTACTACTTTTTGCTAAGACAAACTAAGATAAATTCAGTATATATCTCATCCGATGACTATTTTGACGGCTGTTTTCTCTTTGTATCAGAAGAGTCCTCTTCGGATGTCAATGTCAGTTCTCCCGCTGGAAACATTGAAACAAATAGGATCTGTTTTGCTCCATGTCTTCAATTTAAAGTGTCGAACGCACGGATGACAACTAATGCAAAATACGGCCAAAAACAACTGTGCCGAAAGAGGACATGATTTCTTTATAGTTTCTTATTATCTTTCAAATGATGTCCTTTTTCTTTTGTATCTGAGGCAGGTTTTATCTTCTACGTAAGCGTGTTTTTCTCTTGTTATTGTTCTGTCTACTTCTGTGAAAGTCCAATTTATTTCATATTTTTCTCTTATATCTTCGCTAGGAAATTTCACGCTATTCTGCTCCTATCTTTAATCCATTCCGACATCTCTGAATGGTTTTTTTTAAACACATGCTTCTCCTTCTTTTATTTTCCTCCACTTTCAGTAACTTTATTTACTTCTTACCCTCTATCTCGCCACCTTTCTCTCTCAATTTCTCACTGCCTTTCTTTAGTTCTTACTACATTTCCTTTTTTCTAACTACCGTTCTCTCTCAATTCCTAACTGCCTTTCATTCTCTATTTCTCAAAAGTACCTTTCTCTCTCAATATCTTACTGCCTCTCTCAATTTTTAAAATCATTTCACACCAAGCAAGGCAATAAAGCTACTAAGATTCAAGGGTTACTGTTTGTTAGAGAATATGCAGAAAAACATTATTACGGAGAGAGAACATTAAAAAAAAAAAAAAGAATTAAGACATTGCATTTAAATTTTTGGAAATTAAAGTTGACTGGGAAACAAGAAGCAGATTGAGAGTCTTACAAGCGAGAAGTGGGAGAGAAGAAACTGTTAGTATAGAAATTACGGTTACATCTTGCCATTTCAACTGTAAAAGTATGAAACCTTTCTGCCAATCTAGTACTGCGCTTAAATTCATAAAGACCAGTTATCATAGATGAAACTTTATCAGACCAATTACCATGAAAGTATTTATAGAAAAGGCACATGGAAACTGCCTGAAGCCGAAATGCCAAATCAAGACCAATAATATTGCAGATTCTTCTTTGGATTTTATCAAGAATCTCTAAATATTTAGCAGGAGCACCAGACCAGATGCGGCAGCACTATTCAACGCATGGACGAATGGTAGACTTATAAATATGTAACATAGATTCTACGGATAAAACTTTTCTAGTACGATACAGGGAACCAACTTTCTTCGAAGCAGAACTAATAATTGATTCGAAATAATCTTTGTTATGGGATCTTACCCATAATAATAATAATGGACTATTCCTTACTTAATAAATACTGCTCCTCAGGAGTAGGCAAGAAGTCAAGTTGAGTCAGTTGTTCAAGTGGAGTCAGTAGTTCAAGTCGAGTCAAGAGTCGAGTCAGAGGCAGTCCGAAACAGAGTCGCGTTCAGACGATTACTGTAAGACATTGGAATAGTGATACTGGTTGAGACTACATTGTTCGCTCTACTAAACCTGATTGTTCATACTAACATTTCTACTTCTCTGTATATATTCCTGTTTGTAATATATCTGTGTTATTCCATACCTGTGTTCGAGTTCTTCTTTATTGGTTCTACCTTGGACTATCACCGTGGTACAAGGAACCGGACCATAACAACCTTCCGACCTTCATGTCTACGGAAAACGTTAGTCCGAGGAAGAGCAATGAATCACTCTTCTGGTAGCTAGCATTAGCCATAGTGATGGAAGGTAGAAAAGGGTTTTCTCAATTAATTAATATCTTTCTCCTTCTATTTGCCAAAACAGAGAAGAGCACACTCGCGGTGGTCATAGAAGTAACTAAGACATTTGTCCTGGAATACTTTACTTTATTTTCATCGGATCAATCTGCCCCTTTATTTCTATTTTATTTTTTTCAAAATCTGTTTATTTTATGGCGTACGGTGACCGTTAATAATAAAGTATAATTCAAAACTTCAATGTTAAGATAAAATAGTATTTAATTTCATCCGTAAAAGTCTACCAAAGATAATTAATCATTTCAGTGAATACCTTGTTGGTAGCGCGGCTCGGCTTAATGTCTGGTAAATCCTAAATCAAAACCCAAATCATCCACGCACAATAATTCACACTAATTCGACTGGATAGTTCGACTCAATAGTCATATAAAAATCATTCAATAATCACTCCAGTCAGTAGCCTGACACCGCTATTTATACACCTGGCGTAAAACATATATTCATAAGTCTAGAGTGTCAAGCTCGAGCCTCTATATGACAATTTATTTTCAAAAACTCTCTTTCTTCTCTCTCTTTTCCTGCATCAAGTTTACTCTGTTACTCCTTCTCAATTTCCTCCCCTTTTTTCTTCTTCTCTGTATTTTAATATCTCTATCTTGTTCCGTAGGTATATTTCCCTCTCTGTTTCTTTCTCACACACCCTTTTATTTCTCTCACTTTTCTTCCATGTCTAAATCTCTTTCCTAACTCTACCTTCTTTTTCTCTCTGTCTCATCTTTTTTTCCTTCGTGTTCCTTGTCTATTTCTGTCACTTTTTGTCTCAACCCCTCCCTCTATATTTGTCTCCGACTGCATCTATTCTTCTCTACTCTCTCTCTCTCTCTCTCTCTCTCTCTCTCTCTCTCTCTCTCTATTCCTGCTTCTACCTTTTACTTTATATCCGTCTTTCTCTCTTTCCTTCTCTAGATATTTCTCCCGCTTTTTACCTACATTTCTCTCTTATTTTATGTCTATATCTGTCTCTTCTCTTTCACGCTTCTCTATTTCTCTCCTTTCCGTATTTCTCTCTCTTGCTCTCTCTCTCTCTCTCTTTCTTTCTCTTTCTCTCTCTGAGTTACACTCTCATGATAAGCCTTTCATATCAAATTATTTCGTCTGTGTTCTCTCAAGCTATCACTGTCGTATTATTTTACATCTGTTTATCCTTTATATTCAATTATTAAATAAATCACCAATCAACCAAAATTTATATCTGTTGGTCTCTTCGTCTTTCTATTTACCTGTCGAAAGATTCATATATACAATCTATTCAAACAATTTCGATTTCAATCATAATTTATCTGTCTACAAAGCCATCAAACTGTTTTATCAATGAGTATAAACACACACACACACATATATATATATATATATATATATATATATATATATATATATATATATATATATATAAAAGGCCGGCTGGAAAGTTCTTGACTCTAACACAATACACAAAATTTGACCAAAGAATCAAAGATGAGAATTTTATTTCAAACTCCTCTTAGTCGAACGGGGAGTTTTTCAGTGCCTTTTTCGAAATATACAAGTATGCCATGATATGGGCATACATATATGCCTATATACATATATATGGATTCATTTTCTTACTAAAAGCAATATTAAAGCAGATGTTGGACATTTGAAAACATAATCCACACTGTTCAAATAAAAATATGGCGCGTGTTTCAAGTACGAAGTATGCATTATAATAACGTTTTATTTCGCTCTTGAAAATATATTTCTATTGAGAACTGTGGAATGACAAGATGATTCTATAAACAACAGCCATCTCTTCGGTAAAATGAATAGAGCCCTATGGCTGATTGGTATTTGTTTTCATTCTTAAAAACAATACGCTAGATTTAGCTGTTCAATTCTGTCGAATGAAGATACATATATTTTCGTTGTCCTCTTATTACTAAGAGAAAAAACAAGAACAACATCTATTCCATACCTGAAGATGTCTGTAGGAACAGACGAAAGCTTGTAGTAAAAATAAGAACTAATACGGCAGAAATTTATAGAAACAAGGATCTTTTCATTCATAACGGATTCGGAGGTTTTTGTATATTATTTGAATTGTTTGCGACGATGGATTTCTCGCCAATTAAATCATTAACCTTTGCATTTGTTTTTTTGTGAATAATTCATGAATATATATATATATATATATATATATATATATATATATATGCATGTATGTATACTACAGGAACAGACAGATGTATGTATGTATACTACAGGAACAGACAGAGATAGACGCATACACACACACATATATATATATATATATATATATATATATATATATATATATATATATATATATGGTTCAGCAGAAATACATCCTTGAAATATCTCTCGCATAATAGTAAGTTACGAGCTTGAAAAAGACACCATTTTCACTAATGTCCTACCATTATGTTGGCGGTATATGTAGGAGATATTTCCGCCGCACCCTATATATATATATATATATATATATTATAATTTTATAATATTGACAAAACCTTTTTACTCACTACAAAGATGCAACTTCGTTTCAGTGCATTTCAACTGCACTTCGACGGGTGAGAATCAAAAATGGTTATAAACAATCCTGCTTGTAGGAAATGTCACTTCCTTTTTTCTATTTGTTTGAGAAGAAAAATATACATAAAACAAAAAAAGAAGACGAAGGAAACAATTTTTTTTTTTGATAACCTTTAAACACCGTGTTTAATTTTGACTGGTCTGTGGAAAATTTTTTTTTTTTTTTTTGCATATCATCTCAAAAGTTTAGTCCTCATCTCAAAAGGTAAGGGGTGGAGATAGAGATAGGGGATAGTATTACGTTTGAGTAGGTAAAATTGTAGCGATGGTTCTAGTAGTTAGCCGGTTCTGGTTTGTCTTGGGATTTTTCATTTAACATTAGGTGTTTTTCCTTCTTCCTTGTGTTTTCAAAAATATTTCGAAAGTGATGTCATATTTCGTTTTTGTAAAGGAGTTCATGTGATTGTAATACCTATCCTTAAAAGGTATATTAGTTGACCCTACATACAGCTTAATATCTCTGGGGTTCTCATTTGATGAGATATAGCACATATACACTATGGATTTGGTTAAGCACCTGTTTAATAATGGACATTGAGCGGGGATTCTACCATTACATAGCCTTTTTTCCTGGGGTGTATTAGAACTTGTATTTAGGTTGCATTTATTTTCTCTATGAAGTTTCAGCATTCTATTGTTCTGCAATTTAATAATTTTATCTAGATTTCTAGAACAGCTATAGCTAATTTTTAAGGTATTGTGGTTGAAAATCTGGCTTAATTTACTCTCTGTAGGGAAGTGCTTGTTAATTAGATTTAAGAATTTGTGTCCGAATTTGGTACGGACTAATTTGTTGAAGGGAGGTTTATAGCAAATTATTCTCCTTCCTCTATTGTTTTTTTAGAATAACTACAATTTTCTATATATTTAATTTCGGAAGAGCTGTAACCAGACTATTCTCGTTCCACGTGCCATGTCTAATGGATGTCAGTTATCTCCTGTTAATTCCCCTCTGAAAGTTCTCCACTGCCTTAACCAGGTATTGAACTCACACTCTTTGGGTCCTGTCACTGGATCTGACTAACGCCTTTATCCACTGTGCCATGTGGATAGAACTCTCAGAGGGGAATTAACAGTAGATAACTGACATCCATTAGACATGGCACGTGGAACTAGAACGGTCTACCCCAGTGAGCGAAATAAAGTGTTCAGTTCGACATCCCAACCACTTGAAGAAGGCCGGAGCGTACAACGGCCGAAACGTTATGATAAACATGACAAAAAAATATGAGGACCATAGTCCGAATAATGTAAATAGTGTACATAATACCTCATCCCAGAAATATAGACATGATTATATACATTTATTTTATTAAGTTAATATTGTTTACTCGTATGCTTTTAGCAGCAGAATTTGTGGACCTTGGGGAACAGGAAATAAGTTGATTCGCTTTCTTAAGTGCCATGTAACAGAACATACACCACTTTAATTAGCTTGAAGCTGAAAACGACCGCGCATAATTACTTGGCCAATAAAAGATCTGAGTAAGTCATGATTATATGCAAATTCATAAGTAGGAATTGTTCTATCTTATTAATATGAGTGTAAGATGCATTTATACTGAAAAAAAAAAAGATGAAAGTAAAAAATTTGAAGGGGAAAATGACTAAGCGAGAACTCGTTATGCAGCTGAGAATTTACAGAAAATGTTCAAATCACTCAAAAGACGTTTGCTGCTACTGGAAGTGTTTTAGGTTTAAAGAAAGTTAGACAAGACAGATGATAGAAATTTTGCTACAGACAATTCAAAATTAACAACTACACATTGAGAACTGAATGAAGTCTAAACTCTAGAACACTAACGATGGGTATAATATACCCAGCACATATTTTCCTATTTTTAATTACAATTTTCAGTACCTGATTTTCTTACCTAAATGATGTTTTTCGGTTCGTATTAATGTTAACTTAAAGTACAAAGTTTGAAGTTCCTGCATGTAAAATATTTCAAATAAAGATTTATATTTAATATTTTTTGTTTGATATTTTCAAAATCGGGTATGATATACCCATGGTTCGTAGTGGTGTAAATTTAAATGATGGTTAGTGTTCTAGGGTTAAATTCACAAAGTTTTTGTGTTACTTTAAACTCAATATAAATTAAAAACTTTTAAAATCACTAATTTTTGTTTGCTGTGTTGGAGTTTATTAGCACCGAACTGGTCAACTCATAGAACACGGAGTTATTGAAAACATAGTTTGCTCAGAATGGGACACGCTAGCGGTTTATACTAAAAAAAGAAAAATAATAACATTTGGTTACGTGTAGATTTTTCAACTGCATTCAATGACTGCCTCGTACCACATACATATTCCCTACCAACTCCAGCAGATATATTTGCCAAATTAAATGATCGTATTTAAAAAAAAAATGAAATCTCTAAGGCATATCTTAAAATCGAATTGGATGTGAAAAGCCAAAATCTTTTGACTATTAATATTCATAAAGGACTCTACAAGTTTATAAGTTTACCCTTTCATGTAAAAGTAGCCCAACATATTTTCCAGGGAATAAAGGATATGATGTTGGCGGGACTAGACGGTGTTGTCGCTTACATAAATGATATCCTTATTAACCCTAGAACACTAAACATGCGTATATAGTACCCAACACAAATTTTCCTATTTTTAATTACAATTTTCAGTACCTAATTTTCTTACCTAAATGATGTTTTTCAGTATTAATGTTAACTCAAAGTTTGAAGTGCCTGCATGTAAAATATTTCAAATAAAGATTTATATTTATTTATTTTCAAAATCGGGTATGATATTACAAAGCCAATATGAACGGGCGTATAGCAACAAAAAAACATTGGAATATAATATTGATGTGGTCAAAAGTACATCTAACATTGGATATTGGAAAGTGGCAAAAAGTGGTTTTTAGTGATGAATGGAGAACAGTGTAAAATTCTACTTCAAGAGAATATGTAAGAAGACCAGTGGAAGAAAGACACATTGCCTGATAAATCCCAAAGACGGTAAATTTGCTAATAATGGTGTCGGTTTTCATCAAAAGCCATAGTAAAAGTAAATTGGTAAAAGTTGATGCCAGCCTAAACAGTGAGAACTATATTAGCTTAATACGGTCTAATCTTCTGCCAGACTATAAATTTGGAGAAATATTTCAGCATTCCTTAAAACACACTACATGCAGTAAATTGTTTCTTAGTTAATTTTTTGTGGATGAAGATGTTACGTTTAGGAGACTTCCCAGCACATAGTCCTGGTCACAGTATAATTGAACCATTTTGGTGGGTATTAAAGAAACAAGTACTCCAATGATAACTACACAATCTCAATAATCCTTGGGATTACTGCCAGGAATAACGAGGAAAAAATTCTGGTGAGAAAATAAAATCTCAACCTTTTCCCATTTAAGGTCACATCGAATCTAGGCAGTTATTCGAATCAAATGCAACAACATTAATTATTAATAAGTCTTTATTTTGATATTTTATACTTTCTAAATTAATAATAAAGATAACTTTTTGAAAAAGAAAAAAATTTTAAACTTAAGAAAAGAACCGGAAGCGGAAATATTCATTGGTAGGTTAGTATTTTTATGGCTTTTTTTCAGCCTCAGTATGCTTAAGATGATCTACCAATCCAACATACAGCATTAACGAAAATGAAGTAATTTGTTTTTTAGTCTTCAAAGCCCATAACATGTACTGAGAAAAGCGTGCTATCAATCACAGGGTAATTTTAACAAAATAATATAATTCACAAAGGTGACGCAAATGTTTTGCACGCCAGTGTATATATATATATATATGTGTGTGTGTGTGTGTGTGTGTGTGTGTGTGTGTGTGTGTGTGTGTGTGTGTGTGTGTGTGAGAGAGAGAGAGAGAGAGAGAGAAATTAGGAGGATTTTGAGGTAATTATAATTATGTAATTCATCGAGTCTAAAAGAAACCTCAACAAAATGCAGAATGCACTGGGCGGCCGTTCCGTCCTATATTTGAGACTCATCAGCAGTACGCATCCAAGACTCGATGAATTACTTTATTATAATTATCTCAAAATCCTCCTAATGTCTATCACTTGTATATCCTTGATGCAACCGGCTTCTAATGCTCTGTATGGACCGACTTGGGGATAGTAGTCGTGGCTCGTGGGAGCACAGTCCTATGGGTAAAAGAGAAACTCGGATGAGTTCCACCACGGAATATATGATCGAGTGGCTCTATATCGAATCTGATTCGCTACCTCTTCGTCACTGTTGAAACAGTTGGTATGACGTTTGCCTGATAACGTAACTGTCCGGGTTTCAATTCTCGGTAGTGGATGCACACTGCTGATGAGTCCCAAATATAAGACCCTTTTGAGGTTTCTTCTAGACTCGATGAATTACTTAATTATATATATATATATATATATATATATACATACAAGTACAGATGTGAAGAGACTTGCCTTTAAGCATCCCAAACGAATCTACTAATTATAAATGTACTGCTGATGTAGTTGGTTGCTATGCTGACGACATAAGCATTCATAGTTGGGAAAAAAATGATGCTGAACGAAAAAATCAACATCCTCTACCAAATCTTCGAAGAAATAGTACACAAAATAAACTTTTCAAAACAAATTATGGTCTGGAAAGAAAACCAAAGCAGTAATGACACATACCCCAAATTCATCATAAAAAAAATCAGGATGCTGTATTAATAAATAGAAAACACATCAAATATCTCGGTGTAGGAATAAGAAATCTAGCATAGGATATAAGGAAATTAACCATAGAATAGGCGGCACTAGAAGTAGTTTCATTCAATCAACGCAAATTACTACAAAATCAAGAAACTAACCTGAAAACTGGGATCATATTCTGAAATAGCCTCGTCAGATGGATATTCACATATGGATGTCATGCATGGTGCCAAACTGCCAGCTATATACTCGCTTTCTATGATGAATGGTTAAAAATGTCTTTGAGCGAGTGAAACCTGTGCCTTCGCGAAGATGACACTTCAAATCTTCTTGGTTGGCGTCACAGAATGACGAATAAATGACAAATACCAGAAAGCGCATTAGTTGAGGACTTTCAAAAATGGCAACAACTAAAATGGATATCAACTGTAAGAAAACATAATGACCGTCACTTTCATGACTCAGTGATATCTTAAGAATAGGACTCGTATGTGTGACACACACTCGCAAACATATATGTGCGTGTGTGAATATAGATAGATAGATAGATAGATAGATAGATAGATAGATAGATAGATAGATAAAGAACAACTAACAGAGATATATAGACGAACAGATAGATAGATAGATAGATAGATAAAAAACAAACTAACAGAGATATATAGACGAACAGATAGATAGATAGATGAACAAATTGACATAGATAGATAGATAGATAGATAGATAGATATACATACGAACATACAGATAGATAGATAGATAGATAGATAGATAGATAGATATACATACGAACATACTGATAGATAGATAGATAGATAGATATACATACGAACATACTGATAGATAGATAGATAGATAGATAGATAGATAGATAGATAGATAGATAGATAGAAGTATTGTTATAAACATTCCCCTGCCTATTCGTTTCGACTTTTTGTTTTGTTTTTTGTTTGTTTTTTTGTTTTTTACTTTTGCATTATGCACTGATATAAATAAATGTTATTTTCCCTCACACTTGGAAGACTTCAACCGAAAAACATTTCTCAGGAAATAATCTTCGTCAACCACATTTATTACACTATAACTGGGGCTGTAATCAAATGCTTTCCCCCCTTAAAACACATTTCCTCAGCGTTACTCCCGAAATAAAACTAAAATAAGCGTGAAAAATATATGTGCCCAATCACTACTAAAGAAATACAAAAGAAATGTTTCGAACGGGAAAAATATCCTTTGTAGTTATAGATTTTCAAGTTTATATTCATGGATCTACTGATTTAAAAGCTGACTTGGCTTGTAACAAGTGCAGCTCAGTGAATAAACACGTTCGCCATTTTTATGTTCTTTTTTGCGCTGTTATTGTCTGTGAACAAAAATATGACGGAGATCTTTCACACTCTCTAATGCGAACTTAAATCAACCGTTATGCTAACCAGTGCAGCCTAAAAGTTTGATATTTTTTTATATACAATATGGGATAGTTTTTTGGAGACAAAAAGAACTGTTTATCTCAACAAAAAAGTGCACGTTTGATCATTATCTTCTGCGTGGACAGGAAAGAGAAAGCTCAGATTTCAAATCATTAAATGCAAAATGATAATAGAATAATAAAAGTCATTCCATAAGTAAAGTCTTAATTTTGGATCAGAAAATATTACGTCGAAACAAAAAATTTTATGTGAATTTCCAAGACAATATTTAGATATTTGAACATAGATTTATCCAACTACATAAGTGCCATTTTGTTACATTAAGTTTCGCCATCTTTGAGGTAGCTCTATGTTTCCAGCTTCCCAAAAAGTTTTTCGGTGATGAAATGGTCCAAGTGTTTTCGTAGGCTTCCGTAGAATTGAAGTTCTTCCCATTCAGGAGATTTTGTTGGTACCGAAATGTTGTAATGTAGGTGAACATCCGAGCTAAACTGTACCAATTTCTGTCGAGTCTGCGAAGAGACGATAGTTCTGGCGATCTGAATTAAAAAAAAAGGGGTTTCGATTGCTGTTTAGAAACGGTCCAATAGAGAACAATATTTGTAAGAAATTAACGTCTTTTTACGGAAGGAGCTATTAATTCATGATGCCGTTCGAATTCCTGTTGGTCTTCTTTTGCCCCACTGCGTTGAAAACAATCCGTTTTCATCGCCTTTAATCGTCGGGTCGTTTTTATTAGGTTTGAGCAGATAATCCAATGCGGTCAATTAAATCGTTAGGTGTGGCGACTCAGGTATGCAAGTGTTTTCAAGCTGAGCTATCTGGGGGGGGGATCTCTGATACCATGTAACCTGAATTCTTTTTAATTAACATTTTGATTTAATCATCGTCAACGACTGCAGACCTAGCGAACAACTTAAAAACAGTACTCTCAACTATGACGCCATCTTTATAAACGGCATGTCATTTTTTGCTGTTTGTAATATAAAGCGTTTTTTTAACCCATTCCTCCTTTCGGGAAGTAAATGAGTATCACATGACTAAAATGCATGTTATTTTTCACCATTTTCATTTTTCAGGTAAAAACATTTTAAAACTTGCGATCTGTTCACGAATCGCATAGAAAGACGTGTTGAAATATTGCCTTTCAGAATCTATATATAAAATTCTGAGACTTCTCTAAGTCCGTCCGCCCGTCGGTCACACCCTCTAAAATAGCCATACATTGACCGTTCCAACCAAATTTTGTGGGGAAGGGCAAACAGGTAAATGGGTACAAAGTTGGTTTTACTATGTTGCGTAGCTTAGTAGAATAAATTTTCATTAGTAATCTTTGAAAAATTAAAAGTTTTATTATTTAACATACAAAATAGTCCCACTATTTTAAAAACAATTTAATGATTAAAATAACAAATACTTATTTAATAAAAAGGCAATTATTAACATATACATAGTCCCACTATTTTAAAAACAATTTAATGATTAAAATAACAAATACTTATTTAATAAAAATACAATATATTTTTGCATATCTTTTCAAGTTTTTATACAGAAGTATACAGTTCCAATTTGCACTGGGTTTGCTAGAACTATAAACAAATCAAAATTTGGAATTTGGCTTCAGAAAGAAATATTTATGCATAACCATTTGTATGTTGCATGCTCAAGAGTAAGAAATCCGAAGAAATTTATTTTTCACTGTTAAAAGAGGAAAAATGAAAAAATAAATTTTCTTAAAAAATGTATTTACCATGAAACACATTAGCTTCTTCAAATTTCATCGATTCGTTTGCGAAATTGAATGAAACGTAGAGTTTGTAAATCTCGGCAAAAATTGTAGCGATAACTTCAACAATATTAAGCACTGTGAGAATTTCAACCCGCGTCAGAAAAAAATTTTAGTATGTAAAAAAAAAAAAAGTCATTTATTTAAACTCTATTTAAAAATGCTACAAACTTTTATTCCAAGTCCATATATAACAAAAAATTGTTTAATTATAATTTATTCATTGATAAATGTTCTTTTACTATTAATAAACACTTATTAAATTTTCACGGGCCACATAATGCTGCTTTTTTGTAAAAGTCTATTTTTTACTTAAAAAACAATAGGAAGGCCTTAGTTTCCACCGCTTCAGGTGACAATCACATTGAACAAAATGTGTAGACTATGTTATTTATGAAACTCTTTCCCAGTTAAACATTTCAGTTCTGGTCATTGCTGATAATGTGGTGCATCAACATAGCAATGCAGAGAATCAAATTAGGACTTTCTCCCTTCAAAGTGACGTTAAAAAGCTATTAGTGCTGACAATAGGTCTCTTTTATAACTGCAATATTGACTGCTAACAACTCAAGTGAACCACACCAACGAAGAAACACTTAACAAAATGTTCTTGTGTAGAAGTCAATTTTAGTTGTGCTTAAGTCGGTTCGCCTTCAAAAAGCCATTATCTACGCGTCCTTATATTCTCGTAAAATAGTCATTTTTCATCACTCACCATTCTGTGCAAAAACGGCGAGTTCTCTTCCCAGAACCATATATACAGAATCATCTACGGTTATTTGATTCATTTACTTGTCTTACGATCTCTTATGTTCCATGTTGTTGTAGAGTACTCACTTTTCATCGTCTGTCGAATTTTTATTACATAGCGTTATTGACTCATACTGTCTATTCGCTTCTTTTTTTAACAATATAATATATGTGAAAACACAGATCAAAGCGGCTAATATAACTGATATGACTAATGGTTTTCAGCGCTACACAGTCATTTTGAATATGTTATCCAGCTCCATATTATTGATTATTAAGAAATACTTTATCGGTTCTACAACTCTCAATAGCAGTAACTTGTCACTCACGACTGCGAAGAATCGTTCAGGGAGAAATCTCCAATGCCAAACTTTTGACATTTTCTGTTATTCACATTAATTATTACACAATCTGCATTTTTCCGTTTGTGTAGACTTAACAAAAAAAAGCATATGTCGAAAATATTTCTTATTTTCGTCTATCATAAAAGTTATAATCAAATATATACTATGTTGACATTTTCTTTAAATTCACTGTCACGAACTGTCAGAAAATATTAAAAAAGACAGACCTTTTAATGCGTTTCGTTAAACTGCACTAAACGACATCTAAAGACAAAAACAAAATCCTTTTAAGCTTTCCAATACTCCAATTAACTTTAGAATTCATGAAGAATTTGACTAGGGATATTTGGCTTTTCGTAAATAAAGAGTGAGATAATTCAGTTAATCGACGTCATCCAAAGTCGCATGTCACGATGCTCATAAAACGGGCTTTTCAGGTGAGTTAAATGTATGAGACATTAGAATATTCAATCGAATATATATTTCAGCTTTAAATCTAAAGAGGTTAGCTGAAAGAAAGCGTCAATAGAGAAAACAAAAGCCAGAAGCAAAGGCAAAGCCTAGTCAAAATGGCGTCTACTTCAAGCAAATTAGTCGAAGGGCTTTCCGTGTCCGAGTCCCCGCGGTCCACTGAGTGTTACGGTCACGAAATGTTCCTGTGGACAGCGATCGGCAATGGCGTAATTGAATTTCACGTCTGTGTCCCAGAGGTGAACGAAATGGTACTTTGACTCTCTGTTGGTGCTGGTCATTTCTCGGTAGTGCCAAGCAAATGTGGGCTGAGACTGGGCATGATTCATCGCAAATCACACGTACAAAATTGATCAATTCAGCCTAAAAAGGATGGAAAGAAGGAAATATAGAGACAACGGAAAAATAGACAGGCAATAGATAATCTAATTGTTAAACTAGTCCATTGCATATGGTTCGTTTTTCTTTTTTTTCCCTTTCTATCGGTATTTATCAGATTATAATTAAATTATAGATTCAGTACATCTGTGTTTGTTTTTTTCAAAAATTGATCAGAATATCGGTGCTTCTATCCAGATAACACTTTCTTAATAGTAGTTTCAAAAGAAAAACTGAATGATCTATTACACAAGGTAATCGATGATAACAAGTATTAACAATTGATTGCAATAATACAGATAAATGAATGCTAGCAAAAGAGACAGCATAGATGTAAGTTACGTATCGGGGAACGTCACAATAAAACAAATACAGGAATATAACTATCTGGTTAGTATAGTAACGAACCACGAAAAGTGTAAAACAGAAGTTTAAAATTACCCTTATAAGTGTGAAGTAGAGGACAATAAGTTGATGTTAAGGATTAGGAAAATAAAATAAAAAAACTATTTACATTATTCGGACTATTGTCCTCATCTTTGTTGCCATATTTATCACAGCCTGGATAAAGGCGTTAGTTAGATCCAGTGACATGACCCAAAGAGTTATGAGTTCAATACCTGGTTAAAGCAGTAGAGAACTTGGAAAGGTGAATTAACAGGAGATAACTGACATCCATTAGTCATTGCACGTGGAACTAGAACAGTCTCAGCAAGCGAAATAAAGGGTTCAGTTCGACATTCCAAACACCTGAAGAAGGCAGGAGCGTACAACGGCCTAAACGTTGTGATAAATATAGCAACAAAGATGAGTACAATAGTCAGAATAATGTAAATAGTGTACATAATACCTCATCTTAGAAATATAGAGATAAACGATCGAACTAAAAATGTCACAGATGTTCGAAATAGATCGTAATTCTGAAATATGACATATTTCATACAAACGTAGGTCACAATTCCCGCAACAAGGAAAAAACAATTGGCTCAAGAATTAACAAACCATAAATTAGCAAAAAGGCGATATTTCTCGGTAAAAAAAAAATGATTATTTATACTAAGTAATAAACACGCGTGTATGGAATTTCTAGCATTGAAACTTACATTTGATTCTTCGTTACTGTCAAACAGTCGGCAAAACATTTCTACCGGGGACAATAAAAGTAACCAATACTGACCATATGCGTTGTGCTATTTAATACTATAAAATTTTTAAATCCTGGTAAAAAAGACAGCTGATTTGATTTTCAGTAAGAGATAGACAGAATGCGACTTTGGTATATTGACCTGAAAACAGCCGTATTTACTAACGTAGAGACACAACAGAGTCATCCTACCACAGAGAAACAACATTAGTCACCAAACACCCTTTTCGAATCAGATAATTAACCAGGAATTACACCATGACTTTGTCACATGAATGCTCATAGGACTAACGAAAGATTTTATGGAAAAATGCTGGACAAATTTGCCACAAATAAAGAAAAAAGAAGCGTCAAGTGTCACCAGGCAGTACCTTGACTGGAATCCACAAGGCAAGCAAAAAGTTGGTCGACCAAAATAGACTTGTTGCAAAAGTATTGAGACAGAGGTGAAGGCAACCAGTACGACATGGGCCGATCTGAACAGGATCGCCAGGAACCACGTCAGTTGGAGAGGTGTTGTTGCGGTCCTATGTTCCCAAGGAATCAAGAGAAATAATAATAATAATAATAATAATAATAATAATAATAATAATAATAATAATAATAATAATAATGTAGTCCTACAATCATCGACGCAAATGACTGTGAAGAAATTAGTCTTCAGGAAATTCTTCCTTTCTCTATACAATGTTTACTTAAAAGTTGTAGTTGGGTGGCTGTCAATTCTTTATGCAATGGTTTTAATATTTTCCATTTGTTTAGATCCACAGCAACAGATAATGAATCCATTTTTCTTGCTTATTATACATTTCTCACACCTCTTATTATAACATTCTTAAAACCAATTTTCTTGTTCTCACCATAGTAAGGATTTCAATTTATTTTTTGATTGTTAATTGATTGTTATTTGACATCTATTACAACTTTACTCAATTTCTAAATTCATGTCAATCGTCATAACTTTACAATATGTTGCTTTTTAGCTCATATATTTATCATGAGGCAAAATCATTCTATGTATCTACAAGTCAAAAATAAATAATAGTAAACAGATTATTGTATATACGGATTAAAATATAAATTTACAACAGTCGATCCATATAGCAAAATCTCACACCACCAGATAAATTATTGTGATTATTTCTAATATAATTACATATTGAGAGTTTTATCAATATCAAATTGTTTGCAATTTTATTGTGAGAATATCAAATTGCATAATGAAATCTGACAGAGTGGATGATAGAATAGTCCGCTTCCCCACACTGTATATATTCAAAGGAAATACCTGAAATTGTAGGAAAATTATATAAATATATATATATATATATATATATATATATATATATATATATATATATATATGCTCTTGGGGCTAGTTCTGGTGGGTTATGTATACTTGAATGAGTATTACCACCGGAATTAGGAGGAGCTGAGTCTAGTTAGTTTCCTCTTCGTCGCTGACCTAATGGTATGACGCTTGCGCTGAATCGTAACGGCCCGTGTTCGATTCTCGGTAGTGGATGCATAGTGCAGATGAACCCTAAAAAAATAAGGAAACGGCCGTCGAGTGCTTTCTGCATTCTGTTGAGGTTTCTTGTTCTATACTCGATGAATTATTCCATTCTCCAAAACTTTATATATATATATATATATATATATATATATGTGTGTGTGTGTGTGTGTGTGTGTGTGTGTGTGTGTGTGTGTGTGTGTGTGTGTGTGTGTGATAGGATAAAGAAAAATTAAGAAACGTTTTATACTTAATATTCCGTTCCATACTGGATCAGTATTTAATCATAATTTTCACACTCACACACACACACATATATATATATATATATATATATATATATATATATATATATATATATATTCCACACTATCACTTGAGAAGTCACCAGAAGTGTTGAAACAAAATAGCTATTTTTGTAGTGATTTTGTAACATATTTATGTTATAATTTTCGAATAAATTATATTTGCTCTACTCTGTATTGAGCACTCTTTTAAGAATAGTATTTTTGGGTTAGTGGAATCCTTTATTTGTATATATATATATATATATATATATATATATGAAAGTAAGATTGAAGTCAACACCAAGCGACGAGAGTCTATTGGTTGTTGACTTCAATGTCTATTTTATTTTTACATATGCTCTATCTCTGACATTAAACGTTTAAACCCGTAAATATAGAATGCCTTAAAACTATATTTTCTGTCATATATATATATATATATATATATATATATATATATATATATATATATATATATATATATATTAGCTATTTCTTATACATACATATCTATGAAAAATTTTAATTAGAAACAATAAAGTCAATTAAAATTGAACAATTACAACAATGTATGATAATACACGTTATTTAACTAATAGATTCATTCTTAAACAATATCATATGAATCTTATCATATGATTTTTTTTCTTTTTCTTATTAATTCGATCAAATTCACCTTTTCACTTCAAGGAAGCAATCAACGATGCCTGCTTGATATGTCTGAATTGCCAGCATTACTATTCTTACGCTTTGGGACCATCAATAAGTAAAACTCTTAAATTACTTCTGTTGTTGCCCGCGGTTAGTTGAAACTGCAGAAAGTAAAAAGCGGATAGAGTGGAAGCGCTGTTGTCTTCTCACATCAGTAGTCGGTTTTACAGACCAAGACAAAATCATTTTTTAATGCTAATTTCCTTTTCAAAGTAGACAGCCCTCCTTCATCTCGAGAAATCAATACCAGACAAATTTTCCACACGGAGTACAAGGTTGAAACTGAGAAATATAAAATGTGCCGTAACGGCTATTAAAAGGGCATCGGGAGAATGAGATCAAATCTATACCTATTGAATGAATACCCTCTATAAAGGCATAAACCAACCTCCTCTACACATATATAATATATATATATATATATATATATATATATATATATATAATATAAAATTTCCCGTCATTGACATACTACGAGTGATTGATTTATTTGTCTGTTTTATGGCATATTAACTCCTATTGCCATATTCACAACGTTTCGGTCGTTGTACACTCCAGCCTTCTTCAGGTAATCGGAATTTCGAACCGAGCCCTTAATTTCGTCCATTGTGGTAGATTGTTCTAGTTTCACGTGCCATGTCTCTTGCGCATCATCTTAAGAAGGCTGGAGTGCAAACGGCCGAAAAGTTTGGAATATGGCAATGAAGACGAGTATTACAATCCAAATAATGAAAATATTGGAAGTAATCATAATACCTATCACAGAGATATAGACAGATACTGGTCTAAATCGTTTAGTGTTTGTTAAAAATAATACAAATTTATAAATATAAAAACTGCAGCCTCAATTACTTATTTCACCTTAAATAATATGTAGTTTTCTAGAAAAGACCGAATGAATAAAGTATTAAACGTTATCTCTACGAAGATGAAAGCGAGTATGTGAGTAAAAGTGGCCCAGTGGATGAAGGCGTCGGTTAGATACAGTGACTAAACCCAAAGACTTATGAGTTCAATACCTGGCTACAGCATGTGTGAACGAAAACTTGGAGAGTTCAGTTAAAGGGAAATAACTGAAACACTCGGAAGGGACATGGCACGTGGAACTAGAACAGTCTACCCTGGAGGACGAAATAAAGGGTCGGTTCGAAATTCCAATCATCTGAAACGTTATGAATATGGCAATAAAGATTAGTATAACAGCCCAAATAATGGAATTAACCATAATACCTCATCTCAGAGATATAGACAGAAAAGATCTTGTATTTGATTATTAGTTTTGTTTCGTTTCCTGTG